CCCCATAAATATATAATTATTCAGCTTTTTACATGAAATTAAAAAAATTAAAAAATCAGTCATAGTAAACAAAAGATAATAAGGAAAAATAAATGTGAAATAAAATGGAAATATGTATAAAAGGTAATTCGTTAGTATTATTGATACAGTAGAATTTTTCAAAGTTAATAAAAATTTGATAGGGGTGAGTGTGTACACAATAGGATTAACTATTAGAGTTGATAACACAGAATCTATTAACTTTTTTTTTTGGAGAGGTTTTCAGGCCGAGAAGTATTTTAACCCTGTTTTCAACTTAATTTTCCCATTTGGTTAAAAAGATTATAAGAGTTACTGTTATGTTTGCTGGCCTCCTACTTTCAAAATTTGTGGAGTTTTTTTTGTGTGTTTACAAGGAAAGAATTGAAATTTTTCTCATGAAAACTAGCTTTTTTCCCCCTACGAATTAGCAAGATGAACGTGCACTAACATCTCTGAGAATTTTTGTTTTGGTTTTGGTACACTGAGCATACTTCAGAATTGTTTTTTAAATAAATGTGATTCTAATTTAGCTATCTTAGCATTCCCTTTATGTAAATGTCTTTTAACCCCTGCTTTTGTTTTTTACTCCTTTCCATAGACACACTACACACAATCCTCTGCCTTTTAAAGAATCCTAAAGGTTGTCATGACTTTAGGAACTCTTCTTTTCCTCACATAATCTGTCATTTTCAATAATGAAATTCTTATTTTGACCATCAATGCCTATTAATTCTTCTAGTGCTTGAAGGATGTAGATTGAGTAGTGGAATACAGGCAGGAAGTACAGTTTAACTACTGAATCACTATACTTCCCTAATTTACAGCTCACTAATTAAATCACTGTTATTTGTTTGACTTAATTAGACCTTCGAGAACAATTAAATGATGGTTTTTTTTTGTTTGCAAGATGAGAGAATTGTGTGCAACTAGTGCTATGATTGCTCCTGAATGTACAGACGGAAGTAAGCCTGAACATTTTTTAATTTAAAAAGTTTAAATAGTCCCTGACTTTAAAGAAATATGATAATGTATACTATGACAAATGTACTTTATTCTTCTAACACAGTAAGAATTATTTGGAGATTTTTCCTGAAATGAAGTGCAGTTCCTGTGTATCTTGGTTTAATAATGGTTTCATTCCTAGTCAATTATTTGTATCTTAATTTTTTGCTAGTTCCAAAAGAACCCACTATATGAACAGACTTTTAAAATAATTTCTGTATATTATATATATGAAATGGCTTTTATTGAACAGCTTATCTTCCACTTGCAAGTTTATGAAAATATCAATATGTCAAAATAAAGAAAAAGTGGGAGAACTCTTTGCTGTTAAAAAAAAATTAATTGTCATGGGTCAATAGGTGGAGTGGAGGCTAAGGCACTGTATCCCACATGGCTGACTGACTACACGGTTTAAGTCCCAGACCTACTGGCATGAAAATATATCTATAGGGTGCATGTTCTCTCCAGAGAGACAAAAAGCAAGAAATCACCCTCCAGGGGGGACGGCCACGCTGTAATCCATTCTCCTCCATTCTCCTCTCGGGATCTTGGGCATGCATGCACACAGGCCCAGTGTGAATTTAAGCCACTGGGTCCAGGACCGTAGGCCACAAACCACAGTTGACTACATGGGAGTCTAGCAACATAGCCATTACGCCAACTAATGGTCCTAATTGTCACATACTTCTTGCATATGCTTTGAAAAATATTGTGCACTATAGAGATTTACAATGATTGAATATAAAACAAATAATAACATTAAACAAAATCCTTCCAAATCTGAGAAACTTGTCCTCCCTAAGTCCCCTGGATTTCCCAAACATAGACTGGTGGAGACACAGCTATTGATAGCTCCAGAAACCTAAAGTATTGTGTCTTCAACAGGAAGAGAACTGTGTTCACATGTGGCAAAAGCATGTAGTTACTATGATCATTCTCTTCATGATGCTTATGACAAAAACGTTGAGAATTTATGGGAATTTTATACTTATAGTATGCATTAAAAAGTATTATTTAGAGGCTCAGCAGGTGGGGTGGTGTTTAATACACTGTGCTCCCACATAGACAACAGCAGTTCAAGTTCCATACTCGGTGGCTTGAAAATCTTACCAAACTCGTGTGTGTGTGTGTGTGTGTGTGTGTGTGTGTGTGCGCGCGCCCAAAATCCTGAATGGAGGAGAATGGTTTGTGACGTGGCCATCTCCCTTGGGGGCTGATTTTCTACTTTCCTCTTTCTGTGTCTCTCTCTATCTCTCACTCTCTCTCTGTGGCATGCACACATGCCTTAAAACTTAAACCCCCAAAGAATTGTCATTTAGTCTATAATTTATGTACTATTGGGTAATTGCAAAAGATATATGTAGACTTCTGTATGTGCAATGAACTGAAGTTAAAAAACTTAAGTGCGCATTTTTTCATATGCCTTTTGGCCATTCATATGTCAACATCCCTCATCGTAAGGGAAATGCAGATCAAGACAACAATGAGATACCACCTAACCCCAGTCAGAATGTCTAAGATTAAAAAAACAAAAAATGATAGGTGTTGGCTGGGGTGTGGTGAAAGGGGAACTCTCTTATACTGCTGGTGGAAATGTAAATTGGTCCAACCTCTGTGGAGAACAATTTGGAGATTCCTCAAAAGTCTACAAATAGAACTACCATATGAACCAGCAATCCCATTCCTTGGCATCTACCCAAAGGACAGAAGAATTCTTCATTGGAAAAGTGGTTGCATGTCGATGTTTATTGTGACACTTTTCATGATTGCTAAAACATGGAACCAACCCAAATGCCCCCATATGGATGAATGGATTGAAAAACTGTGGCACATATATTCTATGGAATACTATTCAGCCATAAAAAAAGAACAAAACCCTGGATTTTGACAGAAAGTAGAAGAATATGGAAGATTTACTGCTGAGTGAAGCAAGCCAGGCTATGAAGCAGAGACACTGCATGTCCCCACTTAATATATACCAAGTGTCTGCACTCTATAACTGAAGATGATGGGCTAAAGGATGTACAAACACAAGAGATGATTGTGAATGCCAGATGTGGGGTGTGTGGAGAAGTGGGTCCTGGAGAAAAACATTTGGAGGAGGGATACGGAGACAGCATTGTTGAGACAGGGAGGTAGTGTTGCTATATTTTGATCAACTGGACTGGGGAGAAATGTTCACATATTGAAATGATCACCTTGTAAGCTAAAAAATGTGATTGAATGTATTAAAAAAATGTAAAAGAAAACTTAAGTGATTTTAAATTCTTACACAATACCATTCTACTAGGAAATTCTATTAGGAAATTCATTCTAGATGTGGGGCTCAGGAAGGTGAAAGTAAGGTTGACTCTTTGATTGAAACTTCATCAAGATTCCAGTCTTGGGTTATAGGCATGGGAACTTTTAAAAAACTTTATATTTTAAAATTTTTATAGCATTTACATAAAATTGTCTGTTATTACAGAATACAATGCAGATTCTCAAAGCATAAATGCATTATATGTCAAGCAAGTCAAAGTTGTTAACTTCATTCTTGTGTCTATTAAATGTTTTAGTTTTTAGCTTATTGCTTTTACTTTTTATTTGGGGGCAATTATAGATTAACATGCATTAGTGATAATGCAGAGAGATCCATGTGTCCTTTTCTCAGTTTTCCCAGTGGAAACATCTTCCAAAAACATAGCACAATAGCATGCCAGGTTATTAACATTGATAAGTTCCAAACAGAGTAGTTCCATCAACACAAGAATGGCTAGTTCTGCATTCTTGCAGCCATGTCCATCTCCCTCCCTGTCCAGTCCCTGACCTCTAACAACCACTAATCAACTCACTGTTGGTACAATGTAATCATTTCAAAATGGTTTATAGAGTATAAAAATATCTGCCTAGGAAAATGGTGGAGTTGGTCTTTGCTAGTGACTGCTGTAGGCACTGCCAATGTTGAGTTGAACCAGAAACAGAATTCTAAAGATGAAAATAAGAACCTTTGAGCATAAAGCTAGCAGGTGGTGTGGTTGTTAAGTTGCTAGAATGTCATATGGCTGACCATGGTTCAAGTCCCAAAACAGGATGCTTTCTTTCTTGCTTTTCCTTTCTCTCTCTTTCTGTCTCTCTGATCAAATTTAAAATAATAATAATACTAATAAATGGAATTAAGTAAATTAATAATTATTTTTAAAAAGAACCTTTGAGTGGCTAAAAAACATACATATTTGATGCCAAAGTCCACGTTATCAACAAGAGCAGTTAAGGCCCTAATATATGACAAAATTATGAACCCAAAAGTGAAATACTGTACTCTCAAATATTTTTCTCTATGAAAGTATTTAAATTATTTTACTTTCTTTTTTTTTTCCCAAGATAGATTTTTGCTATAGGGCACAGATACAGATATAGAGATACAGACACAGAAAGGGAGAAATCACCCCCTTGGTAGGGGGGCACACGCTGCAATTCCTTCTCCTCATGGGATTTTGAGTATGAACCCACACATGCCCAGCTTGAGTTTGAAGCCATAAGGTCTGGGACTCAAACTACAGTTGGCCATGTGGGAGTCCAGCAACATAATCATTATGCTGTCTGCTGGTCCCTAAATGGTTTTATTTTCTAAGCACACAAAAGAAATATTACTCTCTATGATCTATGTAACTTGAGAAGAATTAATTCCTGTGGAGCCCATCTTATCTCATGGGATGAATGAGAATTCTCAAATTATTTTGATGTGAGTTGAATATTACTTTGGGAAAGTGGGAAAATGACATAAGGAAAAGTTGTTGGATATCATTGGGAGTAGAATCTTAATTTAAAAGCTTACTAAAATGTACAGAACTTGAAATAAAGGAAATGGAAGCTCTGGATACTCGTATAGGACCAAATTCTACTTCCAAAATCTGAATGAGAATCAAGAAATTAGCTCTAAGGCATTGAGGATTGCAATCAGGGAAACTTATTCTATCCAAGAAAAATTGGTTCTTCTATAGCTTCCCCAAAAATAATATTTTCAGGGCCCTCTTTATGTCTTTGTTCCTCAGACTGTAGATGAAGGGATTCAGCATGGGGGTGACCACAGTGTACATCACTGAGGCTGTTGCACTTGAGTGTGAGCTGAGGGTAGCATCAGCACTAAGGTACACTCCTAGGCTTGTACAATAAAATAATGAGACAACCAAGAGGTGAGAAACACAAGTGGAAAATGCTTTATGCCTCCCCTGAGCTGATGGTGTTGTGAAAATGGAGGAAAGTATCTTACAGTAAGTGTAAAGGATCGCAGTTAGGGGACCAAAAGACAGAAACACTGCAGCAAAATAGATCACCATGTCATTAAGAAAGGTGTCAGAACAGGCAAGGTGGATAATCTGATTAAGTTCACAGAAAAAGTGGGGGATTTCTACATGTGTACAGAAAGACAGCTGTGATGTCATTAAGCTTTGTAACAAGGAATACAAGAAACTCATAATCCAGGATGCCAGAACCAGCTTTCCACAGAGCCAAGGGTTCACAATGACTGTGTAGTGTAGGGGGTGACAGATGGCCACATACCGGTCATAGGCCATCACAGTCAGGAGGAAGTCATCTAACATTACAAAAACTAAGAAAAAGAACATCTGGGTGATGCAGCCTGCATAGGTGATGACCTTGCTCTGTGTCTGGATGTTCACAAGCATCTTTGGGATGGTAGTGGAGATGAAACAGATGTCTACAAAGGACAAGTTGGAGAGGAAGAAGTACATGGGGGTGTGCAAGTGGGAGTCTGAGATGGTGGCCAGGATGATGAGCAGATTTCCACACACTGTGATAAGGTACATGGAGAGGAAAAGTCCAAAAATAAGGGGCTGCAATTCTGGTTCCTCTGAAAATCCTAGAAGAAGAAATTCTGAAATTTGTGTATCATTCCCTGGTTCCATGTGGTAGAGATGACTACCTGAAAAGAGGAAAATAAGATAGGTAATTTCACATGTACAGGTATTACACACCTAGTTGAAATATCATAGTTAATATTTTTAGTCACAAAGTTATTTTTGATATTTTTGTATGGATCTAATGATCTATACAACCCTTTTAGGCTTTCATGGTGCCATCTCTGATTATGGATGCATATCTCACTTCTTCGTTCCTACACATCATGTATTCTACAGATTTTTAACTTATTTATTTATTGACAAATAATAATAGTACATATTTATGGAGTACACTATGGTGTTTCAACCTGTTTATTCTCTTTTTATTTCCCCATAAGCCATGTGGAAAGGAGAGAGAGAGAGAGAGAAATCAACCCTCAGGTCTAATGCCACAAAAAATCCCCTTTTCTCTCAGTATGTTGGTTATGCATGCAGACATGACTGGCATATTTTCCTAGCTACCGAATATGACACTTAAACTTGCCGTCAGCTATGTGCTACCCAGCTGCCTTAACTTCCATTACTCCAGCTGGCCCAATAACTAACTTATAGGGTGACTAAAGTTAGACTTGTGTTCATGGAAATGTATATATCAGCTGTGTTTGCTATGAAAACATTTAGATTAATTAAGATATTTAGTAATTCAATAAAAAATGGGGGGGAAACAGTATAGAAAGTAAACATAGATATCAGAGACAGTGTGGGAAGAGAGTGGGAGATGGCTGAGGGTAAGAGATAGGGAATCAAGGATGAGACGGGGAAAGCAAAACATACAGGAAACAAGAAATGGAAAATTATTTGTTGACAATAACATGTACATTGATGTGCTTGATTGAGATAATATACAGTGTACTCTGGATGGAAAATCTCATTTTGTATGTTGTAATGTTGTACAGTGAATGAATGTAAATAAATAAATTTAAATTTAAAAAAACCCTAAGAATAAAAAGAATTTTATACAAAAACTTAATATCCATTGAAAAACAACTCTTTGTTTTCCCCTTTTACCAGTCCCCTGGCAGTCACCATTCTGTCATCTGTTTCTGTGACTTTGACTACTTCAGATACCTTAGCTAGTAGAATCATACAGTAATTTCTTTCAAAGGTCTTCCATGGATAAAAGTAGATCTCTCCTAATTTTTATTCATTGATTAGTATCCAGACATCTGTATTATAAGTCAAATTTGAAATATATGAGCTCAGGTAAGCATATTCTGAGATTTGCCTGTGTTCTACAACACACACACACACATACAAACACACACATACACACAAACACACACACCAAACTGTGACCTCTTAGAGTACCCAGTCACATTGATTAGGAAAAGAATGGGTATAAGGTCATTTCTCAACATCAAATCATCTTTTTTTCAGAAAATAGCAGGTTGCATGGTGGTTAAGGCAATGGACTCCCACATGGCCAACCATGAATCCAGTTCTGAACCTGGTGGCTTGAAAATCACCATACGTGCCCAGATCCTGAGAGGAGAATTGAGAAAGAGGGATTGAAGTATGTCCATTGCTCAGGGGTGATTTCAAACTTTCCTCTCTCTCTCTCTCTCTCTCTCTCTCTCTCTGTTTCTCTCTGCAACACACATACTCTATGATAAAAAGAAAACTCAAACAACAACAACAACAACAAAAAAACTAATGAAGAAGAAGAGGAGGAAGAGAAAGAAGGAGGAGGAGGAGAAGTAGCAGTAGGAGGAGAAAGGAAGAATACAATGTGCATGAGGACCTGCAAACCAGCTCGAGTCAGCTAGCAGTTCTGGACATCAGACTGCCTGTGACTGCAGGCCCTTATGGCCTGTAACATTGTGCATCCCCACCCTTACTCATCTCTGGACTTCAGGCTGGTTCCTTGGGACTTTAAGATGAACTCGCACCCCACCCCCCAACCTCACCTGCAAACCAGCTCGAGGCAGCCAGCAGTTCTGGACACCAGGCTGCCTACCGCTGCACCAGCTTATGCCTGAGACCCATCGCTCATCGTCTGTCCCTTTCCCACTTGCCTTTGGCCTCTCTGAATTTTAGTGTTTTGAAAGTGCCACATGATTTCTTTTTTCTCTTTGCTGTTGAGGTGTTGCTTATTAGGTCAGTTGGAATCTCACCACTCCTTAGAAACGAAGAGGACTTTGGGTTACCAAGGACTAGTGACAACAGTACATAGTACTGGTGAGAAGCAGATAGGCCAACCATAAGAGAAATAATCAATTTTCTAATCCTGCACACATTTTAACACTCAGAGATACCTTAAATAAGTTAGGAAGCAACATACAGATAACCTGATGACTAGGAATAATCGTAGAGGCTTAAGAAGTATGAGTAACCAACAAAAAGCCTTTCCCCCAAGGAAAAATCATCAAGCCTACATCACCCACATCGTGGACATGTCTGATAAGGAATTCAGAATATTTGTAGTGACCAAACTAGTTGAGATGGGAGAGAAAAGAGACAAGGAGCTCCAGGAGATGAGGAAATCCTTTCATGACTTGAAAGAAGAAATAGATACCTTAAACAAGAACCAGATGGAACTCCTAGGGTTGAAGAATGTGATACAGGAAATCAAAACCTCCATTGAAAATATTAAAAGTAGGTTAGATCAGGCAGAAGATTGAGTCTCTAATGTAGAAGACAAAACATCTGACCTAGAAAAAGTATCAAGAAGATTGAGAAAACAACCCTGAAAAACGAGGATAATATACGAGGAGTACTGATACCGTCAAGCGCCCCAACATCTGGATAACTGGTATCCCAGAAGAGGAAGAAAATAATAAGGGCATAGATAATTTATTCCATACAATCCGGGAAGAAAACTTTCCAAACTTAGAAAGGAATTCAAATATCCAGACCCTAGAAATACATAGGACTCCAAATAGAATCGACCCAGGAAGATCCTCTCCAAGGCACATCATACCCAGACTGGCAAAAACAACAAAGACAAGATACTAAAGTTGTCAAGAGGGAAATGTCAAGTTACTTACAAAGGTTACCCCATCAGGCTAACATCAGATCTCTCAGTGGAAAAAATGCAGGCAAGGAAAGAATGGAGAAATAGTCAAAGTGTTGAATGAAAAACAATTTCAACCAAGAATACTATACCCAGCAAGATTATCTTTCATATGGGAAAAAAAAAAAGATAAAAAACATTCTCAGATAAACAAAATTTGAAGGAATTTACCAACTCCAGACCGGCTCTTCAAGAGGTTCTGAAGGGAATACTATACCAGGAAAACTATAAAGTCAGATAGAAAGTTATATGAGAACAAAAAGCAACCAAGAAAATGACTCACTTAACGATCGGTTCAGGTATGGAAATATCGATAATTACATTGAATGTCAATGGATTAAATTCCCCAAATAAGGGACATAGATTGGCTGAATGGATAAAAGATAAAAATATTCTCGGATAAAAAAAAAATTGAAGGAATTTACCAACTCTAGACAAGTTCTTCAAGAGGTTCTGAAGGGAGTGCTATACCAGGAAAACTAAAAAGTCAGACAGACAGTTATATGAGAACAAAAAGCAACCAAGAAAATGGCTCACTTAATGATAGGCACAGGTACAGAAATATCTATAATTACATTGAATGTCAATTAATTAAATTCTTCAATTAAGAGACATAGGCTGGAAGAACGGATAAAATAACAGAAACTCTCTATCTATTGCCTACAAGAAACTCACCTTATAGATAAAAACATACATAGAGTAAAAGTAAAGGACTAGAAAAAGATATTCCATGCAAATGGAAATCAAAAAAGCGCTGGAGTAGCGATATTGATTTCACACAAAATAGATTTCAAGACAAAGGCTGTAAGAAGAGACAAAGAAGGGCATTATATAATAATAAATGGGGGTAATCCATCAAGAAGACATAACTCTTATTAATATCTATGCACTCAACTCAGGAGGGCCTACATATGTGAAGGAAAGACTGCTGGAGTTAAAAGGAGAGATAGGGAGAAATACTGTAATTGTTGAAGATCTCAAAACCCCATTATTTCCTTTAGACAGATCTTCCAGGCAGAAAATATATAGAGAGATACAGGACCTAAATGATACTATAAATCAAATGGACATGATAGATATTTGTAGAACTTTCCACCCTATGTCTGCAACATATACATTTTTTTCACCTCGGCATGGAATATTTTCAAAGACTGATTGTATGTTAGGACACAAACCAACTCTTTACAGATTCAAAGGCATAGAAACTATATCCAGCATCTTCTCTGACCATGATGGAATTAAACTTAAGATTAATTTCAAGAAACAACCCTGAAAATACACGAACACATGGAAACTGAAAAACCTACTTCTGAATGACTTTTTTTTTTTTTTGAGGGTTTCACTATAGGACGTGTGCGCTCGCCAGACAGACAGAGAGACATAGAGACAGAAAGCGAGAAATCACCCCCCAGAGGGGATGGTCACACCGCAATCCTTTTTCCTCCATTCTCCTCTCAGGATCTTGGGCACGCACGCACATGCGCCCGGAGTGAGTTTTAAGCCACCGGGTCCGGGACGCAAACCACGGTCAACTATGTGAGAGTTCAGCAACATAGCCATTATGCTAACTGCTAGTTCCCTGAATGACTTCTTCACTACTGAAAAAATTAAGACTGAAATCAAAAAATTTATGGAAAAAAATGATAATGAGTACACAAGTGTCCAGAATCAATGGGACACAACAAAAGCAGTCATAAGACAGAAACTCATAGCAATTAGTGTGCAGAAGAAAAGGATAGAAAGATGTCAAATAGATAATCTAACATCATGCCTCAGGGAATTAGAAAAACAATAACAAACAAACCCCCAAAATGCCATGTGAAAAGAAATAATAAAGGTTCAAGCAGAAATAAATGAAATAGAAAATAAACCATACAGAAAATAAATGAAAGCAAAAGCTGCTTCTTTGAAAAGATTAACAAGATTGACACACCATTGGCTAGACTGATAAAGAAGAAAGAAAGAAATCAGATAAATTAAATACGTGATGAAA